TTGAAAATGCATTACATCTATGAAAATCTTTTTCTCTACTTCTGGGTAATAAGCAGACGAACTATTTACATATTTATGATGGGCTCTTCTTCCAGAATTATGAATTTCAAGGCCCCTGGGTCTGGGATAACAAACTTTGGGGGGGGCTCTACTTATATACTAAAAATGAATTGTTTGAAATCTGCTCCTTGGTATTAAACAAACATTTTTAATAAGCGAGTGTGCCTTTCCAAAAATTGTGCAATATGTAGACCTAGGGTCAGGGGTTCATGTGTGGTAGGAGCACTACTGATTATTGCTGAATATTACTGATTAGTTGACATACATTTTTGTTCCTCCACCCTGCTTATGGGTATTAAGTAAACAAACCAAACAGTTGCTAAGTGTATAGTTATGATTAGCATTGGTGCCTATTTCAAAATCATGAATGCAATAGCATCTAGCTTAAAACATGAACCAAATTCAATCATTTGAAAGTTGTTGCATGAGTCTCAGGTGACCTATAAGGCCCGTGTGCCTCTTGTTGTTAAATGCACATAAACATGATAAAGTCTCTCTCTCCCAAAACAATTTGACTTTTGTTAAATATATGAATTTGATTTGGTAGGAGTATAACAAAACAGTTGTTAACAGGCGTCGACCTGTCTACGGCCTTGGGCAACAGCTTGCACTTCGGTCCAACAGATCGACGGTTTCCCTCTACCCAAGTCAACGACTGTATAATGTTCTGATATGCTGTAGATGCTTATTTGGCCTCAGGTTGTATGGAACAAAATCTTTGGATAATAGATATTCATGATAATAAATCTGTTTTGTAGAACACACTGACCTGCCACGCTCTGAAGGGATCACAAGGAGTGTTTTCAGGAATCGGTCAACGAATGTCCTCCTTTATATTCAGGGCCTCCACCTTACAACCCTCAGGAGCAGTAAGTCTATTCTGATTAAATATATAGAATTTGATTTGTCTCTTCAGAGTAGAAAATAAGGCTGATTTAACCTACCATGTGAACAGGGAATTCCATTGAGATGATTTGATTACTTCCAAAATTCATGCTATAAGTTTGAGTGAACAATTTAATCGAAATTAAAGCAATTTAATAATAAATATGTTTTGATTGTATTATACTATCATTGAAAATTTAAGCTACCTATTTTTATTGACAGGCTGTCCTTTATTTGTAGCCACTACAGGCTTTGTATACTAACTTTGTATACACATAGCCACTTCGAGGTATCAAGGGTGAATTTCAATAGAATATGCACAGTGGGACTGCAATTTTACTTTGAGAGATCAAGGGTTTCGAAAGATCAAGAGTTCCAGAAATCAAGAGTAAATTTGCTTAGTTAAATGGGGAAAAAATTCAGGACCGGAGACTCACTTTTCGAGCGATCAAGAACTTCGAGAGATCAGAGTTCAAGCCATCAAGAGTTACCTGTATTAATACATAGTCTTTATTCATTCAATGCAACAAATGAAAATAAATTATATGTTACATAAATTTAATGATGTATAGGTAAATAATAATATGGACTATGAAATTTCTTCCTCAGACTTGCCTAAAATTTACTCCTCAAGTCCTGGACTTGAACATGACAAAAAAAATTTTGAACCCCTGGGCGGTTGTATGTCTTACTGCGTGACAGTCGCTAGTCACATAGTCCCGAATTTCCTCGATCACATGGGCAACTTCGCTTACCAATACAGCGCGAGACTGAATATGCCAAAGCGCGGGTATGTTTCTAGGTGCAGCTTACTAATGTTTAAATGAAATGCTGGTTTTTGTAGAAACTATATAACAAGATACTCTGCACTCATAGTTGTATACATTTTTGTAAAAACAATAACCTGGTTCCCCGAACCAGTTTACGAATACATTTGGCGCGACTAATAAAATAGTAGTACATTGTACAGTTTCACTTTCATTTGCAAATGTGTTTTGTTTGGGGTGTTTTTTTTTTGCGATTAGGTTTGATGGACTTTTATTTTTTAATTAATATTTTACTCTGGATGGAAATTGGGAAATTTACACCTTTCTTTTGGGAAAAAAAGTACCTTTTTGCATCAAGAACAGGGCCGTTGAACGTTATCATTTTTCTTGTAGAACACGTTGACCTGCCACGCTCTGAAGGGATCACAAGGAATGTTTTCAGGAATCGGGAGATGAATGTCGTCCTTAAGGGACAATATCCCTCTGCTCCACATTTCACGACTTTTTTTTTAAATTCCAAACTTTGATTTTCAGCAACAACTAAAGCCTTAAATTCAAATGGAAATTAGTTTGAAGTATGAAGCGTTGCTTACTTTTTCAGAAATAAATGATATGTCAAATCATAATTTGAAGAAAATTTCATATGGTCATTAGAAAGATCAATTATTTTTTAATCTCACAATTAAATTAGAAATATGAGGTATATATAAAAATAATATTTACTCTCATACCTATCTAATTCCCTTTAGAAAACATACTGGAGCGATGCTTTTTAAATCAGAATATCAAATTGTTTTCTGTGCATGCAAAATAAAATGCATCCATAAGCAAGAGTTATCTTTCCATTATCGCCCTTGAAATTCTTTTTTAATGAAATAAAATATTAATTAAATGTTTATAAACAATTCTGCGGCTTTTATTTCTGTACAATTAAAAGACTTTCACGTTTAGAAATAGATTTTTTATCAATTTACACAGTTTAAAAGAACTGAGTTTAAATGTTTTAGGTAAAACTATTCAAAATAATTTTTGCATATACTAGCAATAGAACTAGAAATCAACCTCTGAACAAAGAGATTGGTTTGCTTGAGTTAACAATAAAATGGTCCATATGATAGAGATTTGTAAACTCTGGCATGACAAATTACTGAATTTCATGACAAAATGTCTGCAGAAAGTTATATTTCTTAGCTGTTGAGTTATCTCTCTTATCAGAGTATCAATGAACCTTAATATTTGGGGCCTCCACCTTACAACCGTCAGGGGCAGTAAGTCTCTTTTCTGATGAAACATTCTATGACATGCTATTAGTTTGAGGGAAGAATATAAGTGACATCAAAGGCATTTTAATAATAAATATATTTTGATTGAATTACTGTTAATGAAAATTAAAGTTGCGTAATTTTTTATGACAACCAATCAATTTATTTGTAGCCACTACAGGCCATTGTGTGTGGGAGATGTGAAGATGAGGATGAGCGGCCATTTTATGTTTTATCCGGGACACAATTCCAGAAATGGGTCATCTCTCAGCCCTTAGTAGAAAAGGTTCCTTTTTTAGAATGTTTGCACTTTAAATATTAATGAGGAATATTAGAAGCACTTAAAAATTCCACGTTTTAAACAGTATGGAGGTTTTACGTGTACTGTAATATACGGTTATAGAAAGCATTTATAATATGAATTCAAGTGTACATGAAGTCAAGTTTAATCAAACTGTTTCATAAATTTAACAGATACAATTTACATTTATAATATATCAGAATAGTTTTCCTGGTTTTTAACTGTAAGCATGTTTTAGTGTACAAAAACATGATGGAATTAAGTGTTTAAAAAGTTTTCAATATTGTAAATAAACTGCTACATGTGTGGCGGTCAGCCGGGTTCGATCGCCTTGGCCAGATAGCTCAGTTGGTAGAGCACCTGACCGGAGTTTCAGGGGGCCCGGGTTTGAATCCCAGTCTTGTCCGCTGCATTTTCTCCTACTCGTTACACATGCATTTGAGAGATGTCAGAGATCCAGTACATAACTTTAATAGACTTAAATTCCATAAGATACTTCAGTCCCTGTATTTTATTAACAATTCACAAAAATAATAAATGGATATATAAAATTAGGTGAACAGTTTACATGTATATTGATGTTACATGTATATAATATTTTTCAAATTTTTTTATCTAGCTGTTCTATCAGATTGATGTTGAGAGGATGTTTAGAGAGTTTCTGTCCAAAAAAGTTTGGGTAAGTCCTAATAAACTCTTGAAATATATTACAAGTTATCTGAACTACATTATTGCTTTCTTGTTGCACCCCTAGTCATTATAAATGCACATTGACCTACATTGAGTCCATATTTGTATATTAATCATGAAATCATTAAAACTAGGTTTTGAAAAACAGGGATATAGCAAATTAACTGATACAGCGAGTTTATAAAGGAATCACTGTCTAGTTTTGAGGGTATGCCAGGGCATCAACAATAGTGGGAAACATTATCCCATGTTCCCACTATTGTTGATGTCCCTGGCATACTCTCAAAACTAAACAGTGATTCCTTATATTTCCATTTCATTGTGAAATAAAATTGTAGATTTAAACTTTAAAATTTAGATATTAAATCACATGAGGACTTCCATGCCAATTTCAATAGTCCTCGCCCACTGACGTCAAACACAAAGGCAGCCGCACGAGCTTTACATGCATATATGGCCTCATTAGCGTCAGTCACAGAGACAGATGCGCACGAGATTTGCATGCGTATTAGGCCTCCTTACCTCCTGACCTATCGACCTGCGTAGTTTACATTCCGGCAGAATTATCAAGAAATAAACTCGGACAACTTTCAAAGAGATATCACAGAGAAAAAAAATTAGAAATGTAAATATTATTAGATCCGCAGCTATTTTAATTTAACAAATTTCTTATATGGATATAATGTATTACAGATATACCAAAGTGATTTCATACATGTAGGTCCCATTGACTTCATAATTACCATGTTTGACCATACAGAAATTGCTCAAAGTGGTTTAACAAAAATGATATAAACCAGACATTCAGTGTTCCAAGTTGTATCTAAAATGGTTGCATTTGGATCCAAAATTAAGCAATGTTATGCTAGCATGCTATATGATAGTCTACAGGATGGGTTGTGTTCACCCATAGTGATGGTTCTAAGAACTAATATGGTTTCTTCAGCCATTGTTTGGTCATAGTAATAAAGGACATCATATACATGTACATAAATGAATGTCGTTCCTTACATTTGATCAATTCACACTATGTAATGTTACTTCATGCATCAATCCTATCATATAACAACTTAACCATGTTAACTACAAATACTTTCTGTTGATAAGATTCTGATCATTTTTTTTAAATTATTTTATAGGAAGTTTTCAAATACAACTAATTAAAAAGAATTGATATACTGCATAGTGGTTTTAAGTTGTATTGTATTGTGTCATATAGGTTTTATTTGAGCAATACACAGCCCTAAAATCAACACATGTATTTGATTTTCTTCACTTGTCTGTTCTTCCACTGAGCAACAAACAGATTGTCATTTGTATCTGTACACAGTCCCCAGGGATAACTCAGTCCACAGTCTATGTAACGGAGGAACTGTCCATCCTGGTCTATGATGTGGACACAGTCATTGTAATAATCAGCTGTAAGGATGTGACTCTGACTGTCTGTGGTGATTCCTCGTGGACTGAATGGTTTGTTCTTTGGAGCAGGAGTATGTCCAGTGTACTTGAATCTCAGTTTCCCGGCCTGATTGACCACCACTACTGCTTTAGCTTCCCAGTCAGACACACAGATATCCAGGTTCCTGTTCACAGTAATATATCCACTAGATGAATAGAGAGGTTTACCTTTATCATCAAACTGAATGGTTTGTTTCTCTGTGAAGCCAGAGTAATGGACAACTTTTGTTTGTTTCCGATCATCACTGTCCATAATAACCAGGAGGTCACCAGAGGAGGTACTACAGACACCGTGAGGTATCCAGTTCTGTAGTCTGATCACCTCCTCTATCATCTCATTCTTCACAATGTTCACAGTTCTATCATTGTAATCACTATAAACTAGATCTCCACTTTTTGTCACTGCTATGTCTCCTATTCCTCTAGATCTCAATGACTTGATTGTGATTGACTTGAGTAGTGATCCCTGATTAATGCTGTAGAGTTTCATGGTTTTGTTATCTCCACTTGTCCAGATTTCTTCATCACTCAGACAGGCAACATTGTAGAGTCCATTAAATATACCTGTATATCCAGTGTTTATGGTTGTGACAGTCTCTGGTTCATCAAGCAGCTGTTTGACTGGAGGAGAGGATCCAGCTTCTGGTGATTTCTGTGTTGTCTTCATGCTGTAGCCATGTTTATCTGAAGTTAAAGAACTTGATGATAAAGTTCCAAACATTTTACCGAGTTTTTCTTCTTGAATTTTTTCTGGAATGAATTTTGATAAAGTTGGTACTGGTTTTTGTGGAAGGCTTCTGTATATATTTACATTTGAAGTGACTTTAAACAGTTTTGACAAGTCATTGCTATCTATGACAGTTTCCACTGAATTGATTTCATCCTTGATGTCAGACATTGTCTTGTTTATTTCATCCAGATGTTTCTGTAGAGTTTGTAACTGTGTGTTTTTCATCTCATCAACTTCAGCTTTAAGTTTCTTGACAAGTTTGTCAATTTCTCTGTGCCAGTCCTCTCCATGTTTTGTTATGGCTGTTGAGAGATCTTCATATTTCTTTTCTAATTGACTCATTGTGTTTTGTACATCAGAGGCAATGTCCTGGTAGGTTGGGTAAATTGTTTCATTTAATTCGGTTAGATCCTTGATGATTTTGTCTTTTTTATTGTCCACAACTTTTAAGATTTCTGATAACTTGTGACCCAGGTGTTGATCAGATGCTAGACACTTTGTACAGACAGGAATGTCACATTTATCACAGTACATTTTACATCGCTCTTTGAGATGAGTTGTACATTCAGGGTAGAGAGGAGTAGATTTCCTAGACTGAAATGTGACAACTACGTGTTTTATGGTTTGATCAGATATCATGTGTTCTCCCACACAGGCCTTACACAGGTTGACAAGACATGTATCACAGTGCATCTGTACCACAGCGGTCTCACACAGGTCACATCGCATCACGTCCTGGGCACTGGTACGGGGGTCCATGGTTTACTTCTGACTCTGAAGTATAGAATAATTAGGCTTTAGAATAAAGCTCAGCAGGAAAAGCATAACATTTTTTAAATTGATTTTTAGGGTTATTTGTTTTGCAATTACAGAGTTTTAATGTTATTTTATTTTTATTTTAAATTTGTGACCAACAGTAAAATATAGAATTCTGTTCACTTGGTTCATGCCCCAGGCTGGGGTTTGGTCTGATGCATGTGTTGCAAATACATAGCATCTTTGGAATTTTCTTTTGTCAAGGACTATTATCAAGCAAACTGTTTGCTTCATAATTATTTTGATTAACACTTCTCCCTGTACTTAATTATGAATTATGGGGAGATGGAGCTGAGTTGTCCACATTAAGAAACTTCATAAAACTCAGAGAAGAATTATGAATTCTTTATTCATTGACCTTTAAAATCCTTGGTAGTTTTTTTCCATTATTTTTATAAAAAAATATATAGCTAAATATCAATTGCTATGATAATCTTCATGTATTTATTGTTAACTATATACTATTAGGTAAATTTTTCAACAAAATATCAAAAAGTTAAATAAATAATTATTATATAAACATAACCTGACTCCTACGACAGTAATGGCTGCCGATAAAGTGGGTGTTGTTATGTCACATGACAAGTTTACCTGTATTATCTACCTGTCAGGTATTTATACTTCCTGGTCTATATATAGCAGGGATTTAAATCTCAACACAGTGTTTTGCTTTGTTTACTATGACAAGCTTTACTCCTTTCAATATTTGATTTTTAAAAGATTGATAATAAAATACCGGTAATGAAATTCTCTCAGCATGTCATGATATCAGAAATTTAAGGAAAACTGATCACTGATACAGCCCCCCCTTTTTTTATCCAGCAGCACAAAAAGTGTTCATCAAACAACAATGGATGAAAGTTGGATGCCATTATCTCAAAAGAAATAGTTTAATTTATAACTTGGAGTACTAATTTGAATTAAATTACCTGGGTTACATGTACTCATATCAAACAATCTTAAACATTACATTTTTTATTTACAGGATTTAAGATTGATTGTGAAAATTTTCTGTATGAATTATGGAAATAATGAACATTACTCAATCTCAAAGTCCATATGAACAATACAAATCAGGGTTAACACAGACCTCCAAAAACATCAGAGGCGGGATCAGGTGCCATGGAGAAGTGAGCATCCCCTGCTGACAGGTCACATCCGCAGTGTGCTCCTTGTCATGAAAATTCAATGTGAAAATATTGACCTAGGGCTTGCAATATTTGATATATCAGAAAAAAAGTTTTTTTCTAATTGATATTAAGCACATATATCAATATATGCTTATGTAAATTTATATATAAAACACATATGGTTGAATATTGTGTTATTTATCTTAAAGTTAAAGTCATGATTTGTTTATTTTAGCTTTCTTGGATACAGATGTAAACGGAACTCCCAGTGAGTTAGAGAGCTTGATGATTTTGCAATATAAGGACACATACTCGGTAAAACATTTCTTGTTCTATTTAGCAACAGAACCCTAATTTACATGTTGTTTAAAAAAAGCTATGTTGATAAAGACATTTCGTAGGAATGTACCTAAACTTTTTATGCCCCGCCATGAATATGGCCGGGGCATATAGTGTTTGTCATGTCACGTTTGATCCTTCTGTATTCCGTCCTTCCATCACACTTTGCGTTTAGCTCTGTTCAAAGCTAAGTTTCAAAGAAACTATCCAAGATATTTTCATCAAACTTCATATGCTGATAGATATTGATGAGAGCTATGGTTCATCTAGGGATGAACACTACCAGACTTGCTTCGGATGCTGGATCTGACTGACATTTTCAAGAAGTGACCAGGTAAAAGTTTTAGGAACAGAAATATTCCAGGAACTATAATGTTAAACTTGGACCAAACTTGCATTTGATGCATCTAGGGATGACATGAGTACCAGACCTTCAGATGCTGGATCTGACCTACATTTTCCAGATGAGTGACCAGGTTACAGTTTTTAGAGCAGGTCCATTCCTAAGGAACTATAAGCCCTACTTGAACCAAACTTGCATGGATGATGCATCTAGGGATGGACACTACCAGACTTGCTTCAGATGCTGGATCTGACCTATATTTTCATTCCCAAGTAACTATAAGCCCTACCTGAACCAAACTTACATGGATGATGCATCTGGGATGGACACTACCAGACTTGCTTCGGATGCTGGATCTGACCTATATTTTCATTTCCAAGTAACTATAAGCCCTACCTGAACCAAACTTGCATGGATGATGCATCTAGGGATGGACACTACCAGAAAAGGATGTGGATTTGACCTATATTTTCCAAACAAGCAATTCAGCTGCATCACTATTCTGGATATTCTGATCAAATTTTAAACACATACAAATTTTCATGTTGCTTTACTGATATATCCTCGGCGGGGCATTCATGTCCTATGGACATATTTCTAGTTGTGATCTACTAATTAAAATTGTAGATTTACAAACTTAAGTTTTGAGGTGTTACAAGAAAAAAAAAATATGAATTTCTGAACTTCTATTTGTTTAATTTGTGCAGTACAACTTTTTAAAACAAATGAAATTATATACACATTTCTGGAAAAGAAATGCATCTATTGCAGTGCTAGATAAATCAGAAAAAGTAAAGTTCTCTTTTGTTTCTTATGTTTGTACAGGATGATTTTGAGTACAGCCTTCAGAAGTATAAACTGTTATTAGCTGATCCTACGACCACTACTGCATACATCTATAACAGGGACCAGATTCTGTTTGTACCAGGTAAGTTAATCCTATAACAGGGACCAGATTCTGTTTGTACCAGGTAAGTTAATCCTATAACTGAGTCCAGATTCTGTTTGTACCAGGTAAGTTAATCAATAAAGAAAAATTCATAATTGTTTGTGTTTAATCCTTAACAAGGACATTTTTACCAGGAAGTTAATCCATAACAAGGACCAGATTCTGTTAAAACCAGGTAAGTTAATCCTATAACTGAGTCCAGATTCTGTTTGTACCAGGTAAGTTAATCCTATAACAGGGACAAGATTCTGTTTGTACCAGGTAAGTTAATCCTATAACAAGGACCAGATTCTGTTTGTACCAGGTAAGTTAATCCTATAACAGGGACCGGATTCTGTTTGTACCAGGTAAGTTAATCCTATAACAGGGACCAGATTCTGTTTGTGCCAGGTAAGTTAATCCTATAACAGGGACTAGATTCTGTTTGTACCAGGTAAAGTTATCACTCCACAATACAGACATGTGGACTTCATTATTCAGTGTATTGATTGATGTATAAAATGTCAGGAGTATGTCAAGGTTTGTTTCAACCTTGATATCTAGTAAGTTTAATGAAAATATGTCTTGAATTTTTACTGACAGGTTGCATTGTTTCAAGTTAAACTTCAATCACGCTTAATTTAAAAAAAATTATATTTTACCAAAAGTCATATATTTTTCTTAGCTGTTACATGATACTTACATCCTTATAACAAATCCTGTCTCTTAACAAATAGACATGTTAAGATAGAAGAGACTATATTTGATATTTCAGGTCCGTCCAATGAGGTAGTAAATCTACAGCAGCCTGGGGGTCACATCCTGGGGGCAGGTAAGGCTGAGTTATCAGTTCATCTGAGACAAAAAAACCTCATTAATGTTTCTCCAAAATCTTTAGGCCTAGCTCTATAAAAGTTGCCTCAAAGAATATTTTTTATTGATATTGACTTTTTTCTTCAAAGTTACAAGTTTTTATTTTAAAAAAAATGTAAAGTTGATGTACATGTAGATGTAGTGGTACTGTAAACTAAAAAAAATGTATGAACTAAAATATATTATGTAATTTTTTTTTCGTAGGATCTTGTGATGGGGTTGGAGTTTTCTTCTCTGGCAGTGTGGGACTTTTTTCCATCAGTGCTCCACAGAAACAGGAAGTCAGGTCAGGGGTTAAGTTGAAAGTATTTAGTACAGGTGCACCTATAAGTCACTAGGGGTTTCAGTTCAATGCATTTACATATGTCACATGGACTTGTAATTTGCCAGGATCTAATCTAGTCCCCTCATAAACAGATTTTATCTTGGGAAAGATGGATTACAAGAGGATGATATTAAAATAAAAATATATTCCGTTTGAAAAGTCTGATTTTTAAGATCTTTTAAATAGCTATAAATCGAAAGGGGGGGTTAAAATTAATTTTTAGACACTCATGAATTACTGAAAATAAATGTCCAAACCTTGTTCTTTATATTAATAAGAAAATTTCTCTGCATTATTTAGTATTATGGAGGAGCCTTCACAAGATCTCACCACAATGGACATGGTAATTATTTTCACTTTTATAAACAACAAAACAATTAATTTCCTGAGTTCTTTATCATATCAGAAATAATAATCCCAATGCATATCTTTTATTCCACATAAATTGCAATTTTTACTTAAAATTCTGCATTTTTACAAAAATTTCAACTTTAATTATATATAATGTGAAGTGTTTTGCTGCGGCCCAGCTAATTGTCTGTGTCTTTGTAGTCTGTATTGACGGCCAGCCATGCTAAAATGCAGGAATTGTCTATGAGTGAAGACAGAACGGCCCGACTCAAGTCCGCGTTTATTGCCACCATGAGGGGAAACATTGTAAGTGGATATGTTGTTATATAACATTAAATTGTTGTTTTATGTCAATGAGCAAAGATGATAATAAGTATCAGCAAAGCATATTATTATTTATACATGGACCTTTATTTGTACACTGTGATGGTTTTAGTAATAGTTTTGATTGGAGCATTAAAAGGTATAATGATCAGTGTACCAAGCCTCTAGCATCTCTTCAGGGTAAACCCATGATGCTTTAGATTTTTATTCTCCAGACTTTGTTCACGCATTCTCAATTTATAGTCTCAATTCGCTTTAAATAATGTACCGCGTTTTAAGTAATATAATATTTCAAATAAATTTTATTTTCTGCCATCTTTGAACCTTTGTTTTGTTGATTAAAATACAACAATTGTTTGTTGTCCACTTGAATGATTGTCATAGGAGAAAATCACATTTTATAACAGAAATTGATATTTACGTTACTGTCGCCGATCATCGTGTAGTTTTTATTTTAAACCAAAAAGAATTTTTAAATCATTAACATATCTTTTTCTGAGTAAGATTGTCCTACATTTTTATATTTTCTGAATATCAACCCTTCACACATATGCATGTCACAGATTTTTAAAAATGTTAAAGCGGCACAGTGAGTCAAAATCATATCTTAATTTTAAGATATTGTAGCATGCCACAGAGAAAGACTTCACGAAAATTATCAGTATATAGCGAAGATAAGACAATTAAACTGCAAGAATTGACTGCACAATATAAGTGCCGGAAAAACAAAGGTTGTATCTAACCGTTTCGTTGTTTCGTATATGTTAAGGTCACGCTACTCTTATTTTTAGCTCAAACTTGTAAACAAAATACAACTGGAGCATGCAAAGGTGAGAAATATGTTCTAACAACTTTTTAAAAAGATTACATCAAATTTTTGGTCTACTTATTTTTCGTTGATACCTGAGACCATGGTAACTATTGGAAACTTATTCAATAACTTTTCTGCGCACGCGTAAAATAAGGAAGAATACCAGGGTATTTAACTTCCGACTGCAATATTTTCGTTCTGGGGCAGACAGAAATTATTTTTACTTTTATTTTTCCCCATAAAAATTTAATTTTTAGGTTCTGAAACCTGTAATTTTCTGAAACCTAATACTTTAAGGAATTGAACAAAATTTACAGAGGTCATGCGAAAATTCTACATTTGCCAACTTTTCCCTTTGTGCGTCACTGTGCCACTTTAATATATTTATCAAATTTTGATGTCACCGCAGAATTATTAAAATTTGGAAATTCACTGGAAGGAATGATGAACTAACTCAATAGGATAAGTTGTAACTTTTTAACATCATGAGCACCCTTTCTATTGCATGGAAAGGTAAAAAAGACACTGTTTATGTGTGTTTATGAACAATAGCCCCCATAGCATAAGTCCAATGGTTAAAAAATTCAACGATATTTACGTGTTAGTATTTATTCACAATTTAAGTAAGAGAACTACACTGTCCCCTATGGGCCAAACTGCCTTACACTCAAGCACTAGAATATGCCTTTAATTAACAGTGGAATAATTGAACAATGGCATTAAAAGTTACGATAAATCTCAGAAAGATATTTAGGTTACCGATATTTACGTTACCATGTTTTAAAGTAAATAAGTATTAATTTCTAAAGCTGTTTGAATAGATTTGCGAGTGAATCTTTATGATGTAAATACTAAGAACATGAAGAAATATAAACTGTTTCTTAAAATTTCATTTTTTCTGTAACAAGAGTGCAGAAATGCGAATGGAAGTGCACATGCAAAGGTGAACATTTTTACTCAATATATTGTGCATCCGTGTGATTTGAAAATTGAATTGACATGATATTATTCACAAGTAGAATCGTGGTTTAATGATTGAATCTTTCCATTTTGAGTAATTGGTTAATATTGCATAGTTTCAAGTGTAATGCACGTTATCATTCGGAACGTAAATCTGAAACAAAACTTTCTTCGAGTCTGTATTTTGCTGTTTGTTTGAACTGATAATGATCAACTTTAAAAAAATGGTTATATACACTAGAATTGTATACCAAGCTAAATATTTTGAAGAAAAATATATCATTTCTGTAGGAAATATAATTCCAGAAAATAGGCACTGCGTTGCATGCAGGGGGGGGGGGGGGGTGTTCTACATCGGGTTAAAAAAGAAAAACGGCTGTTGGTGTTGTGTGTCAAGATACTGGTTGAAATTAAATCCATTTCCATTTTTTTTGCTTTGCAAGAAATACATTTATTAACATGTATGAAATTTGCACCTAATTTTCCCATTTGCATTGTTCATAGACATATGATTTATGAGGTATGCGTCATGCTTTAATGGTACTGTTTCAATTTACGTTATATGAACGTAGACATGTATATTGCTTATAGAGCACATGTGATGTGCAAAGTAATTATTGACAAACTTTTTATTATGGTGGGCGATCTTTGTTTTATTTTTGAGATTTGACGATAAAATTTTCACAAACAATTAAGCATTTCTGGTATGTTACAACAAAGTCCCACCCTGCCCCCCTTTTTTCTCCAGCCTTACTTCAACTTCAGTAAATGTTCAGTGAAAGGCTAGTTTCCCCCACCCCCACGAATAGTGATGTAAGGAAAATATATTGTAATAATTGGTACTGAATGTAGTTGGCATTGAAAAAAGTTCGCCTCCCCCCTCTAGGATTTTCGACTTTGAGCAAGAATACCCTGCTGTGTTTTTTTGCCTTGTCAACTTTCCAGGTAAGTAAAAAAAATTTTTTAAATGCTCCCCCCAACACACACACATACACTTTCAAAAACGATGCTATGTGAATGACTGCATTTGAAATAATCAACAGATTAAATGGTGGAAGGGGGGTCTGAATTACATGAGTCATCTATAGATAAATCATTTATAACTTGAATTTTCAATTCAACCCTTTTAAATAACACAGATTAGAAAATTCATAAAATTCAATAATTTGAAATTATTATCATTTTCCCCCCGAATATACTTTTATTTTTTTATGATATCTATGTGCGATATTTACGTTATATAAACAAACACTTCGTAAAAGGTAATGGCAAAAATATTTAACTTTTTAATATTTTAAATAATGTGCATTTCTCTGGGCATATAATAAAGAATAAATTAATGTAGCATTTTAGGGAATATTATCATTATTAAGTTAAAGAATTCTAAAATGTTAAAATAAAAAGAAAATGATTTCATTTAAATGAAAATTATGTCCTTTTTATTTTTACTAATAATTGAATCAAAGATTGTACACCCCTTTTACAAATGTGCTTAAACGTTTCATGAATGTTTATTTGTGTAACAAAATTTGATGTGTATTATATTAATTTTGTATTTGTAAAAAAAGTCTTTGTTTCCAAATATGGCTTTTCAACATCACGCAAATATCTTGGTGTAAAATTAGCCCTCCAACCGCTTTTATTTCGAAGGAGGCCAACAAAACAATGCATGAAGTATGTAAATCAAATTGCGATTTTTAATAACAGTACACTTTCATGTTTCAAATGACGTATAAAAGTGTTAATTTCAGTTCACTAATTTTTTTTACTTTTACAATAGACATTTGTGTTAAATTGAGAATGCTTGTGTTATATCATTCTCAAGCTTCAATGTGTACATGTATTATATCTATAGGCTGCAGCCCAGTCAACCATTGTACAATGTATATTTCCCCCTGATGAAGTGTCCACAGATTTAGATCAGATAGTTGTCTCCCTTGACAGAGATCTCGTGGATGATTTTTTGTCTGATCCACGCTGGGCGGAGTGTTAGACAAGGTGAGACGTCAAAGGGCAAACGTGAAGCTCGTATGGGATCTTTGCCTTTTATATTGATGAGAGATTAACATCCATTTATTAGTACAAAGAATTATTGATTCATGGTGGTCTTTATCAGAAACTTGATAATCATTTATTGATTGTAGATGCTACCAGTAGCACCACTTCACTAATCATCATCAATCAGCTGACAGATAAACTCCGCGCTCACGAGTACGTCATCAACTTCCTCATAAAGATGAGTCTCTGGGAACAGGTGAGGGTCAGGGGAACAGGCGAGTGTCAGGGGATACAAGGTCAGATTGGAGAGTTATTGTTACCATAGGTTTAAAGTTAAATTAATTAAAGTATTTAGGGAAAACTTTTTTTGCCATGAGGTAGTTGACTTTCTTTGTATTTTATGCCATTTTCAACAAAAGATGATGTTATAACAACTAAGTATAGGGGTTCCTTACTTTTTTATCTAAAGAATGAATTCTTATGAATTGCAGTTGAATCTAGTAACCATACGGGA